GAGTCACAGAACAGGAATTGAACTGTGACCTCCTGGTTCATGGGTTGACGCTCAACCACTGAGCCACACCGGCTGACAATGCTCTAAATGTTTTATCTCATTTATCTTTATGGTCATCTAAGAAATAGGTTATACCCCATTTTACACATTGGAATCTAATACTTAGGGTTATATGGTTTAAAATTGGTAGAATGGGTAGACAAAAGCCGATCATATGCCTCTAAAGTCCGAGAGCATAATTCACACATTATAGGTTATATGCCACTTCCTATGGCCTGTGCTGAAGGTCCCTGAGGTTCACAAACAAGTAAGCAGACTCACGACCAGAGGTCATTAGCCACCTAGTACAGGGATGCGCCAGGCCTGGTGGCAGGTGGAAGTGCACAATACTTCCTGAAGGAGAAGGGGAATGTCACCAGGGGAGATAATACTTCAATAGTTCAGAGTTTCAGTAGTTCAATGAGTTGACTCTTAACTGATGATTTAAAGTTTGCTGGTGGAGAGGAGTGAAGGGCCTGCAGCCAGCAAGTCGGTGGACAAAGGTGTGGCTATAGGGGCCTTTCATGTTTGAGGAACGCTCAGGAGTACTGTGTGGCTCGGAGAGGTCTGTACAGCCCTGTTCTGGCTGCTTTCAGATACATTGTTTTATTCTCACAACAGTTGTGTGAAGATAGTTGCTGGTTGTCTGGGATGGATGGAGGGAGGTGATGTGTGGAGAAGCTATAAACATAAGTTGGGTCTAGATAGACTCCTGCTACTCAGTTTTCTACTTCCGTTACTCCTATCAAAATCACTTGGAAAGCTTTTAATATATGATGTGCATTGTGAAATCTAGGCAAACTAGTCACTTACTCTCTGTTGAAAAAAGGAAGGGGGCAATTGAAAGCCACCTCATGAAGTAATAAGCATTTGTTAAGTGTTTTTCACTTGAAAATCTGTTGGTTTAAGATTTCAGTGGCGGTGTGGTCCAAAGGCATCTTGCTTATCTATTCTCCAATCTGCAGGGAGCATAGCCATGGCCAAGGCCTCGACTTGGGCTTCTGTACACCCCCAGTAATTGGTGCAAAAATGTTTACTATCTTGGGGGGCATTCAGTTAAAGCTTGAATTAATGAACGAATTCAACTTTCGTGTGGTTAGTTCTGATTTGATAATGAAGCTGAATGAAAAATTTAATTTGGCTTAAAATGAATAGAGAATTTAGCATAGACTAGAACAGACAGCTAAGTATTTTTTTTTTTAGGATAAAAGAAGAAGAAATTTGAGAATTTCTTCCCAAAAGCAATTTGGAGATCATTATTTCTGCTCACAGTGGAGCCAGATCCTTCTTTCTATAGACCTTAGCCCTCTGCTCTTGATATAAACAATTTCTTTCCACTTAGATTTTTTATTAAGAAATTATTCTCAGATTATAGGTGGGAATATTCCTGCCAAAGCTACTGGAGTATATTTTAAAATTGCCCAGATTTTCTGACAAAGGAAAAACAAAGCAACAGTGTCTAAGGAAGGTTTAGGGCAATTTTTGCTTATTTAGTTTCAGTCTTGAATGTCAATCTTCTAGCTGCACTTCTGAGCTAAAAGCTTTCTGAAGCCCCCTTTTAAGTAAAACTAAATCCAGAGATTTCAAGAAGCCAGGGAATAAGCACAGACATTTTCATTTCACCGAATTCACTTGTCTCTTAGTTGCTCCACTGGTTTATTATATTCATTCATTAACTCAGTAAACATTTATTGAATGTCTACATTGTGTGAGAAATTATACACAACAGCAAAATAAGTAGTTTTGCTTTTTTTAAAAAATTGAGATTTGAACAGAGTTTTTCTTCAGCTTAGCCCTTTTATAGTTCCTTATATAAATGCTCTTTTCCATCTATTAGAACGGGGCATATGGTATAGAACCACATAAGGAAAATGTCTAACACATGTTGTTGGTTAAATTAGTAAGTCAGACCATATGGAATTGCCATAGTCAACTATTTTGACCTGCTGAAATAGCAAGTTCTTATAGTTTAACCTAATAACTGAATATTTTGTTATAAAATTATATATTTTAAATATTTA